GATAGTAGGAAGGGAAAAATGAAGTGGGGAAAATCGGAGGGGGAGACAAACCATGAGAGACTATGGTCTCTGAGAAACAAATGGAGGGTTCTCAAATGGAGGGAGTGGGGGGATGGGTTAGCCTGGTGATGGGTATTAAAGAGGGCACGTATTGAATGGAGTACTGGGTGTTATACGCAAACAATGAATCATGGAACACCATATCAAAAAAATTAATTAAAAAATATTTATGCAATTTTATCAGTTTAGGCAAAATACATGTTTAACTGTCACTTTCAAAAATGAATTTAAAAATGATGAGTTTGGAGAATACAAACTTGCTAGAAGGGACTGGAGCGCAGGGAGGTGGGCAACCAAACCTCAGGGTTAATGGCTCAGCAAAAGACTCTGCCTCCTGGGAGCCAGAGAAGGGCCCATCTTTGCTGGGCAGTGTTCTCAGTGCCAGCTGCCAGACTAAGGAGTGAGGCTGTGGCCACTGGGCTAGGAGTCAAGAAACTGTCCTCCCTTCTATCCCTGCCTCTTTTGACTAACTTGATGACTTTGGCAGGGCTCTTGTTGAGCTCTGGTCATTTTTCTTGATGTTGATGGTGGTGGTGATGATTATCATGGTAATGATGATAATGATGGTGATGGTAATAATATGATGACGGTGGTAGTGATGATGATAATGATGGTGATGATGATAATGATGGTGATGGTGATGATGGTGGTGGTGATAATGATGGTGATGATGATGATGATGACGGTGATGGTGATGATGATAATGATGGTGATGGTGATGATGATGACGGTGGTAGTGATGATGATAATGATGGTGATGGTGATGGTGGTGGTGGTGATTATGATGATGACGATGATGGCAGTGATGGTGAGATAATGATGATGACAGCAGTTAGCTTATGGAGTACTTATAGTATCCCAGACACTGTGCTTAGGGCTACCCACATATTAACTTCCATCTTTAGCAGGTACTAATTTTATCCTCAGATAGATAAGCAGAAGAAGGCATAGAAGGCTTAACTAACCTCCCCAAGTCTCTGGAAGCAGAGCTGGGCTTTGAACCCAGGAGGTCCAGAGATCAGAGCCCCAGTGCTTAAGCACTACACTATATTATCATCCAAAAAGATGAAAAAGGAAAGAGTTGGACTAGCTCATCTCCAGGGCATCTTCCAGTTCTACCATGCTTAGATTCTAGGAATGCAGACTTTTATTTTTTTTTAAAGATTTTATTTATTTATCTGACAGAGAGAGAGACAGAGAGAGAGCACAAGTAGGCAGAGTGACAGGCAGATGGAGAGGGAGAAACAGGCTCTCCGCTGAGCAGGGAGCTGGATGTGGGGCTCAATCCCAAGACCCCAGGATCATGACCTGAGCCAAAAGCAGCCGCTTAATGGACTGAGCCACCCAGGTGCCCCTAGGAATGCAGACTTTTAAAGCACTACTTGCAAGGCTGTTTTACTGAAGGGTGACTCCCTACCCCATTCGTCTGTCCCCCAACATACATACACACGAAAATGGCAACTCAGCAGGAGCAAGTATCTAGACTGACTTCCTCAGCACTGCATTCTCAGAGTGAGGAACAGTGTCTGGCACACAGTAGTTGCTCAAGAAATAGTTGTTGAACAAATGACTCCGGAGTTGGACATAAAGCAGGCAGTCAAGGGGAGAGCGTTAATGCAATTTTGGGGTTACACATTGTTTTAAAGTTAATTGAAGGCAGATACTTCTTTTTCCAACTTGGAAAAATAACTAAAAAACTGACAGTAAATAGTAGAAGAATTTGGCAAGCCTTTTCCTTGATAGATGTTATTTAGGCTAACCATTTCTCCATTCTATTGTCTGCCAAGTACAGGACATCAAAATCAGTAATTGTCACAAATGCCAAAACAATAACAATTACACTATAGCAGTGGTGACAAAAGGAGCTTATTGTAATTATACCAAATCTGTTCTGAGTTACTCACGCCCATTGCACATCTGCATCAGAATATTTTAGGGCAAGGTCTGCTTTATTGGGTGGAGAGAGTATAATTTTCTTTCTGACTGGTGCAGGAAACACACTGCAGAAAACCGACTCGGAGATGCTAAACTTTTCATTAAGAAAAGGTTTTAATACTGCACCCTGTATGAGGCAACCCCATGCCAAATCGTTCTTCCTGGAGCTACTTACTCAGAGGACAGATGAAGTTGGGAGGAAGATATTACACTGAACAGCATCTCCAGCAACTGGTTTCTGAGCCAGATTGTCTTTCCAGATGTTTGGCTTCCAGCTACAAAAAAGGGAAATTCAGATTTGAGAGAAAACGGATGTAAAGAGACATAATATTTGCTGCAGTAAGCAATCGTATTCACCAAATGCTTAGTTCACTCAGGAATTTAGGCATGGATGAGACTCAAAATTTTGGCATTTGAGTCTAGACTTCTATGCAATGCTCAAAAAGAATTTCAGGAAATGTTCCTAAAGTTCCCTTTAACTGGAGATTTTTTTGATGCTTCCCAGCACCACCCCCCCCAAAAAAATCCTAAAAATAAGGTCAAATTTATCTTCCAGTAGAAGAATGTTTTTTTCCATTATCATAGGCTGCAACATTTCTTGACCACCTACTACATGCTGGGAATTATGGGAGGCACTGGGAACAGAGTGGTGGAGATTTTTAGTACTCAATCTTAATTCCTGTTCTCAATGTGCTTCCAGGCTAGGCCTTCAGCATGCCGATGTCACACTAAAAACGGAGCTTGAATTGCAGAGTTCAGAATGAAGTCCATACAAGAAGGAGGGGTGACTAAATAAGCTTACTTTTGTCCCATTACCCATTCATTCATTCATTCCCTTGGTTAGCCGGTTATTTTACAACCAATTCAGGGCACACAAACCATGCTGCAGAAATAGGACTGATGAGGCAGCTTGGAGAAGTGGGGTCAGATTTCTCTCTACTTGGATTCTGGCCCCAAAGGTCTTAATCTCTCTGAGACTCTGTTTCCTTGTCTGCAAAATGGGAATAGTAATTCCTACTATTCAGGTTTGACCTAAGGATGAGAAATTTTTCTAGTTTGAGTAACACTGTCCAATAGAATCTTTTTTTTTTTTTTTAGATTTTATTTATTTTTTAGAGAACGAGCGAGAGAGAAACAGCATGAGAGGGGAGAGGGTCGGAGGGAGAAGCAGGCTCCCCGCTGAGCTGGGAGCCCGATGTGGGACTCAATCCCAGGACCCTGGGATCATGACCCGAGCCGAAGGCAGACGCTTAACCATCTGAGCCACCCAGGCGCCCTGTCCAATAGAATCTTTTGCAATAAAAAGAATGTTTTATATCTCCCCTGTCTGATGCAGTAACCACTAGCCTCATGTGATTAGTGAGTACTTGGAATGTCACTAGTGTGACTGAGGAATTGAACTTTTAATTGTATTTAACTTCTATCAATTAAAATTTAAATTTAAGTGGCCACAGGTGACTAGAGGCTCACGTCAGATCTGGAGGGCCCAGGACAAAGTGGTCAGTAATGGCTCCCTTCACACCTGCCCTAGCAGAAGGACCATGACAGAGCTCTTGTTCTGCACCTGGTTGGGAGGAGAGAAACTCAAAGAAACAAATCACAAACCTGTGCATTAGAGTAAGTCCAAGGGTTTTAGAAGCAGAGGAGGTGACTTAACTGGCTTGGTGGGGCTGGGGAGGCATTTCTGCCTCCAGTGGGTGAAGCATGGAGTGGGGTGGGACCGGGGAGGCATTTCTGTCAAGGGAACAGCACGTGCAAAGCATGGCTGGAGGGCAGAGCATCACACACTAGGATGTGCAGGTGCTTCAGAATGCTGAAGTTGGGGCTCATCAGGGGAACAAGGGTAGGAGAGATTCAACCAGGAAGGTAGGCAGGAACTGGATCATGAAGGATTCCACCTATTGCCCTATAGGGAACTGAGTTTTATCCTGGAGGTCTTGGAAGCCATTCTAGGTTGTGAAGGAAGAATATACAATTTGATTTGATTGCAACCCTACTCATAAAAACTGACTTCACAAGCCAGTACTTGGGAACAACTGCTCAGTTGTGGATACCTTCCCCTTCCTTTGCCTCAGCCCTTCCCTCTACAAAATGGCCCCATGACAGGTGGCTCCCAGGGGCTCCATAAGGCTCATCCTGCTGCCTTCAGACTGGTGTCAGAAAGGTCTTCTCACCAGGCACTGAGGAGTCCAGGTCCCCATCCACGCAGATCTGCCTCTCATTCACTGAAGAAGGCTTGAGGGTGTACACAACAAACAGCCCAATTCTTAATGCAGAGAGAAAAGGATACATTCAGTGGTGGGCTCAACCCATGTTTGCTCAACACATATAAAGGTTTTGTACATAGATCCACCCAAATCAGCTTCAAGGGAGGGTTTGAGACGACTCATGTTATTCTGTGATCAATGCAATGTTTCCAGAGACTTCTAAACTCTGTCCGGATTCATCAGAGCAGTTAGCTCTGGCTCTGCCAGATCAACAGAACAGATATCAATGAGGATGGAAAAGGCTAAATACCATGCCACCTGGGACCCTCCTTTGGGAAGTCTGCAAAAAGCAGACCTGTTGAGTCAATGGCTGATAAGGATGACTGTGCTCATGGAAATTCTCGAATTCTTGGCCTAATAAGTGTGTATGAGCACCAGGGAGCAGTGAGCACATAGCCCTGCTGGGGGTCTAACAGACCCGCCCCTTTTCTCAACTCTCCACCCTGAACAGAACCTCTAGAAGGTTCCAAGGAAATGGAATCTGTCACTGCATTGAAGGGTAATGTTGCTGGGTCAAGTGTGGTCAGGAGAGAACTGGGGCCTATATTCCCTTGTGAAATAGTCCCAAGGCTCTGCCCATCCCCCTGGGAAGCCTGGCACAGTACCTGAGCAAGTCCCGGATGCTGAAGTGGCCCCTCAGCTGACAGCCCAGGATGGCAATGATGGTGGGGATCTTGGAGAAGGTGAGGCCCGGCTCATTGAAGAGGAAGACGAGCTTGGGTATAAGCTGTGCCTGGTGAGCAACTTCAGCATTCCGGGGTCCTTCCCTGTGAGCCCAGGAGAGAGGCAGTAAAAGCTTTTACTGGAATGAACCAAATTTGCTGTGTTTCTGCTAAAAAGGTTTCCTAGACTGGGCTTGCTCTGTGGCCCTCTGACTCCAATGCTCTCTTGGCAACTCATCAAAATACTGTCAGACACCCACTGAATATGTGTCTGCCAAGTGCCAGAGTTGCTCAGGGATGAGCCTCCCATGCCCTTCCACCCCCGGAAACTGCCTTCAAAGACAACCCCCAGTTATTGACTTTTAAATTCTAAGCCTCGGGGAAAACTAATGCCCGTCTCAGAAAACTCAGAACAAAGACAGCAGACTCGTGTGTGACCGCGGAACACTTCCCAACAGCCAGGAGCGCAGGGCCCTTGGTGAGTCTGTCTGGGTGTGTGCTCTTCCTGCCTGCCCCAAACCACAAAGTGGATGAACACGCCACTGAGAGTCAAAGGGGAAAAAGACAGAATTCAAGCATCCACATCCTCCTTCTTAGGATAATCACAAATTCAATTTCCAGTAAATTCTCCCCCCGTCCAAAGAAAACAGCTCCCAGGATAAGTGTCCATCTTTTAGAAACAAATACAGAAAGAAAGTGGGAAAGAAAAAAAGGAAGATGAAGGAGGGTGAATTGGGGTGGACTGCTCCTTCTTGAGCTGTCCTGTCAGTACTAATAGGATAAATTCTGCCAAACTCCACATTCCTGATAGACACAGAGGCAGAACCAGCCCAGTTCTGTGTGTGGTTTGTATTCATCAGCCTAACAGGGAAGGTGTGCGTTCATCTACCTACAAGCTCCCAATGTGTTTTGTGCTCTTATCACAGCACTAAGAGGCCTGTTTGTCTGTATTCCTTCTCTACAGGACTGTCCTTTTCTTCTTGAACTTCTAGCACTAAGAACTGAGTATGAAATGGAATGGGTTTGTAATAGACACCCAGCGAGTGACTGAGTGAAAAGATGCTCACAAATATATTCAAAAACATCAAAGGTGCTAATGATAAGTTGAAACAGCCCTCCATGAGGAGGCAGGTGGATGTGGGGGTGACCAGCCTGACAGGTGAGGAAGGAGATGGGTTGCTATGGTGGCTTTCCTGCCTCCCTTCTCCCTTATTCTGATCCCAGTCCCTGGTTTTCTTTGGGGGCCTACCACGTTCTAACTCCCCTCCACCCTTTCCAGAAGTGAAGTCATGCCACATGACCCAAGATGGCCCAGTGAGACTCCATCCTATCGCTAAGACTAAGGAGGAAAAAAGAAGCCCTCTGTGTTGCCTGTGCTGGCCGAGGATATGCTCTGAGGAGCTGCGCGGAGGCCATCTTGCCGTCTGCCCACATGAAGCCAGCACAGAAGAAAGAATGGACAAGATGGGTGACAGGTCTAAGACGAAGCAGTGTGAGCGCCACCCAGCCATGTGGGAAAATCTGTCCCATTCCAACGTATGAGACAATAAAATCCCCTTTCTCAACCTTCCTTTTGTCCTCCCTCCTCCCTTCCTTTTTTCCTCTCTTCCTTCCTTCCCTAAGTTGGTTTGAATTGTATTTCTACCACTTGCAACCAAAAGAAAGAGCCCTGAACATTTAAAAAGTGACTTGGAGAAATCACTTAGAGGGAAAGTGGGTTGAGGGGCAAATGGGACATACAGAAGTGTTTTCGTTTGCTGAGCCCCTGAGAGGGTGCTAGCTGCAGAGCTGGAGAGTCCCCTCCTGGGGCCCAAATCCACCAGGGGAGAGACTTGCCCCACATACGTGAGCCACTGGGAAGGACACTGCCTCAGACTGAATGTGTCCCCCCCAAATTCATACGTTAAAACCTAACCGTCAGTGCGACAATATTTGGAGGTGTGGTCTTTGGGAGGTAAACAGGTAATGAAAATGGGGCCCTCATGATGGGATTAGTGCCTTTATAAAAGAGATGCCAGCGAGCCCTCACCCCTCCCACCAGGTGACATTATAGGGAGAAGACTGCTCGTAACCAGGAAGCGAGACCCTCACCACACACCGAATCTGCCAGGGCCTTGATGTTAGACTTCCAGCCCCTAGAACTGTAAGAAATAAACTTCTGCTGTTTATATGCCACCCCATCTATCATATTTTGTTACAGCAGCCCACATGGACTGAGAGACGTGCTGCCACCTGGGAACTCGGTGCTCTGGAAATGGGAGAAGGCCGTGGTTGCTGAGCCACTTCCTGTCCCACCCCCTCGGTTCCCCTTCTTGGTATGAAGCCATTAGTTCCAGCCCCCACCCTGCCAAAGCCTGGCCTACCTTGGTGATCGAAGGATTTCCGCAAGGTGGGAAAAGAGGGAGTGCTCCAGGTTGTCCGCAGTATTCATCCAGAGCTGGAGACAACAAGCACAGAGTGAAACCAAGATGTGTGTGAAGAAGGGACTCCATGCAGTGTGAGCAGGTACAGGGTTGAGCACGCTCTCCTTACGCTTGAAGTCACTAACACCATTTAGCAGCTCAGGAATCAGACCAGCTCTCCCAACACCTAGAACTTAGAGGCTGCCTTTCCCGGGGGAAAGCTCGGACACCATTTCTCTCTTCCCCATCTCTGCTGCTGCCCAGTGCTTCTGTGGGAGTCTAGATTGGAACCAAGGACACCTGCCGTAACCTGTGTCTGGCCCTCAGCCCTGGAGCCCCTATAGCCACACACAATACGCAGCTCATCCTCACTGGAGCCTGGAAGGCAAGTGCCAGTCTTCCCAAGCGAGAGATGAGGAAACAGGCTGAGACAGACCAGTTGAGGGACAGGTCCCACTCACCACCAGCAAGTGGTAGGACTGGAATGAGAAGATGAGTCTTGCCTGTCTGGTTTGATGCTACCGCGACCATGCACCCAACTGTGCACACATCACTTTCTTCAGTCCCCTCCTCCGTGAAACCTGCAGCACAGCCCCCTCCCCTCCCACATGGCCGCGCTGCGAGCTGCACACCAAAGGGGATGCACTCAGATTCCAAGAGTGAACTTTATCACTCAGGTTGTTTTCATTCACAGTAAACAAAATGCAGCTGCTAACCGTCCTGCTGGGGCAAAGTGGATGGCGTGCCTTCAGGTCTCCCGTCTGTTCCCCTTTAGAGAGCTCTACTATTTCTTATTTCCAAATACTGACATTTCCTAGGGCCCAGAATGGAGAAGGTTTGATGTGGGACTGTAAGAGTGCATTCACGGAGCAGCTGAAAGAGCTCACACTTATATAAATGAGACCATTTTCCAGAGGGAAGAAGTGCCCTGCAAAGTCCTAAAACGGTATCATTATCTGCATGTAGTAGCCAAGAAGAGTGACGCTCAGAGAGACTCAGAAACTTGCCTGGCGCCCCACAGTTTCTAATTGGCAGAGCCCGGCTTCAAAGCCTGGTCTGTCTGACCATCGAGTCCATCCTCTTGTCTCCTCACTGCGCTCCCCACAGGCATCTCCTGCAGACAATGACCCATAGGGTCAATAATCGACCTCACTTGAATCAAGCAGGTGACCGTGGCCCCATCCTCTTACTTCGGAGTGAAAGCAAAGGAGCCTCAAAGGACTCAAGTTTCTGAGGAGGCCCATGAAGGTAGAGACCACCCCTCTGACTAGTCCCCACACATGCCACATAGAGAGCACTTAATAAGGACCCATCAAGTTTTTTAAAAGAGTGAATGCAAAGTAGATCAAGGTAAAATAAGTGGGTAAGTGGATTGCTCTTAAGCCAGAAGCACACTGACAGATTTCCAGCTCCCGTTTGCACAGCTGCTGCCTGGCATACACAGAAGAGGGCAGCTGCCATTTGGGAGAGCTGGTGTGGGCTGATGTGGCCCCAGTGTGTAGGAGTCCAAGAGCCTGCACACTTGGAACGTTCATTCATGAAGTCAGACATTGAGCAAATGCTTTGTCCGACTCAGTGCCGGGAGAACTGAGATAGTAAGATTGGACCAAGCAATCTTGTGTGCCCCTGAGCCCTTACCTTTCCCACAGAAGCATATTCCTGTTTCCTTTCCAGAGCACAAGAACAATAAAAAGCTGCCACACACATTGGAGGCTGCCTAGCTCTTTAGAAATTACATAATACCAAGTATCTGAATTTTGGGAAACATGGATAATTGAATCTTTTGGTTATTATCCTGTGTCACATAACCTCTGTACTGAGAACTGCATTGAGATGTCTGGATTAGATTTCTTTAAATATCAAATGGATAATACGTCAGATTTTGCCCTCTCCCTACCCCTGGAACCACCTCACTCTCAGAATGGGCTGGCCTATCACTTCTTCAAGGAACCCAAAGCCTCAACCTCCTGCCTTTCTCCTGCTTCTCAACTTTCTGTCTCTCCCCTGCTTCTCAACTTCCTCTCTCTCCCCTGCTTCTCAACCTCTTGCCTTTCCCCTGCTTCTCAACTTCCTGTCTCTCCCCTGCTTCTCAACCTCCTGCCTTTCCCCTGCTTCTCAACTTCCTGTCTCTCCCCTGCTTCTCAATTTCCTGTCTCTCCCTACTTCTCAACTTCCTATCTCTCTCTGCTTCTCAACCTCCTGCCCCTCCCCTGCTTCTCAGCTTCCTGTCTCCCCCTTCCCTTTAAACTGTCTGTCCCAATCATCATGCATGGAACCCACCCTTTTTCTTGTAACCCACTCTTTTATCTCTAAACTTTCCCTCTCAATAGTGGGAAGGACTTGACCCATCAATAGTGATTTTCCCACTGGTATTTTTAACCATCCTTTTCTATTGCTTCCTCCTCCTCAGCCTAAAACCAGACTCAGGTCCCTTAAGTCTTGAAACTTCCTCCCTTCTATTTTCTTCTCTTTTTTTCTTCTTCAAAAGCCCACTGACTGTCTTGACTCCATCCTCCTCCCTCCACCTCACTTCTGACCCCATTACTTATGTTTTCCTAGGCCTGTCAGTGACCTTCAGTTGACCTCCAAGTGACTTCCAAATTTTACACAGTCCTACAAATTACAAAATCTAAAACTTAACACATCCTTGCCCTTACTTGATAGAGGCAGACATTTGGAAAAGTTCTCTTCTTTTTGAAATTTTGTCCTCCTAATCTTTAAATTTTATTTCATTTCCTTTTGTTTTCCTTGTTGTTTTTTTTTTTAGCTTCTGGTTTTTATGGGTTGCTTGTTTTCTTAACTCCAGCTTTAAAAGCACCAGCTTACCTAAAAGTTTACTCAGGGAGGGGTGGGGTGGCACATGGTCATTCCAGGAGCAGGCAGTAGGAGGGTGGTGGGTTCCTCCATGGGTAATTTCTGGGCCAGGCTGCTGGTGGACATGCTTTGGAGCCAAGCTGCCTGAACTCAGCCACAGCATTTTGGAAGGTACAGGGATGCAGCCAAGGCATGCTGTCCTGTTTATCAGTGTAGTGAGGTCATTTATGCATATCTCCTTTCCTCTTGTGCACTAGGAGCCTATATTCCACACCTGGCTGGCTTCCTGCATAACCCTCTCATCCATATCTTCAGACCCAGATCCAGGGCCTGGTTCAATTAGCTAATATTTTATTTAGGATTTTTGGAGCTATATTTATGAATAAGATTGGCCTGTACTTTTTCATTTCCCATACTGTCCTTTTTTGGTTCTGCAATCAAGATTGGCTCATAAAATAAGCTGGGAGTGCTCTCTTTCCAGTTTCCTGGAAGAGTTGATAAGGCTGGAATGGCCCATTTCCTGACTGGAAGAACTTCCCTATAGACACCCTGGGCCTGGACTTGCCTTATGGATGTTGTTTGTAAGATTTTAAACCTGTGATTCTGTTATTTGATGGTTATGGGACCATTTGAGTTTTTATTTCTTTTTGAGTGAATTTTGGAAACAAATTTTCTTGGAGATTGTTCAAATGAGCTAAGTGTTCACATTTATTGGCACCAAGTTGCTGATCCTATTTTCTTGTTGCCTTTCTAATTGCTCATTCCTCTGTGGTTATTCTTCCCTTTCCTTCCTAATATTATTTAGTTGTGCCTCCTGTTTGTTTGTTTTTTCCCCCTTAGCCAATCTCAACAGGTCTGTCTGTGTTATGAGAACTAGTTATTGGCCTTGGTGATCCTTTCTACGTTTGTTTCTTTCCTACTTAAGTAATGTTCTCATCTCTTTTTCCTTCCTTCTTTCTCTGAATTTTGTTTTTGTTTGTTTTTTTGTTTGGGGTTTTTGTGTTTCCATTTTTGTTTGTTCATTCTAACTTCTTGATCTAAAAGTTCTGTTCATTAATTTTAAATGTTCTTTTCTCTAATATATATACACTGATGACTATAAATTTTCCTCTAAATCTAGCTTTCACCAGCACCCCCCCCACAGTGCTTTGTTATATGCAGTGTTATACAGTGTGTTTCTTTCATTCAGTTCTAAATCACTTCTAATTCGAATGATGAGCTTCATTAATCCTCTTTATCCCACTGTCTTTGCCAAAATTCAGGCTTCAAAATCTTCTATCTGGATTTCTGTAGCAATCTCACAACCCACTCTCCCTTGCCTTGGGCTCCTGCCACCAGAGTAATAGGCCTAAAATAAAATTCTAACATGTCATTCTTTTGTTAACATCCTTAGGTATCAGGAGCTTCGCAAACTTAGCAATAATCTAAAACTTATCTATAAAGCCTTTAACCTAATAATTCAACTTTGATCATTTATTCAAAGGAAATAGTTTTAGAGCAGGGGAAATGTATGCACAAAACAACAAAATAACATTTATTCAAAACAACAATATAGGGGGAAAATCTAAGACTTTGACAATAGGAGAATGGTGAAGAAACCAGGAACTTGCTCTAAGGCAGATATTATTCTGATTCAGAACAAATCTTGTAAAAGTCCATAAAAAATGCTTTTAAATGTGAAGTTCAGATCTTTAACAAGCATTATTGGTGAGGGTCATTGAAGGAGTAGTGATGGAGAGTCGACGAGTGTTGCTTGCTGGGAGCCTATGAGATTAAGAAAGGGCATGATGTGATGGAAGGGACCTTGAATTCTTGACTGGACGGGTCTCACGAATGCACTTGGGGACTAACAGTGACCTGGTGTGCAACAGTGTAGCACAGGTCATAAGGGCTTTCCTAGCACTCATGTGTTTCTAGTTTTAAATACCTCCCTCCTTAATTCCCTGGCCCCTTGCATGTTTCTCATCTTCCTTTCTCAAGCCCTTTTCCTCTCCATTTTGCCTTTCCATGGACCAGGGCTGTGTCTTTGCCACTGTCTGGTTCTTAGAGTCCCAGACTTTGGGAGATGAGCTCTACGGGGGGTTTCTCCCTGTCTCTCCATCTTGTAATGAGACATAGTATTTACTCTTTTTTTTTTTTTAAGATTTTATTTATTTATTCATGAGAGATAGAGAGAGAGAGAGAGAGAGGCGGAGGCAGAGGGAGAAGCAGGCTCCCCGCAGAGCAGGGAGCCCGATGCGGGACTCGATCCCAGGACCCTGGGATCATGACCTGAGCTGAAGGCAGACGCTTAACCGACTGAGCCACCCAGGCGTCCCCATAGTATTTACTCTTAACGCAGGAGCATTTGGAACTGGAGTTCTGAGGAGAGAGTAAGGGTTGTGCTAGCGACTTGCTTGGCTGATGGTTTCTCCTCCAAAGGCATTAGGCTCCAGAGCTTCCTAACATAGTCAGATTGTGAGGAGCAGACAAGTGTCTTTTCCCTTTCATTCAAAGTATTTTAACCAAAAAAGAAAAAAGAAGAGTCCATAATAAATATTTTTAATGTCTGTTATGTGAGAAGAGGCAGGACTTAAACTATATCTACACTATGATCATGACTATGATATAAAAATATATGTATATTATGCATAGAAAGTACAAAAAAGCAATGCCTTAAAAGTTGACAACGGTCAACTTTTCTGTAATTTTAAATATTTAAAATTTAAATATTCTATACTAAGCATGTATCATGTTTTAAGTTAAGAAAATCCATTTTTTAAATCCTTCCAAGGACTGCAGCAGGAACTGGCTAAAGCGCACGTCCTGTCATGCAGCCTAGCATCTCCCACCTGTCTCAACTCCCTCCCCGGCCAGCCTCACCTCTCCCTGCCACAGACAGCCCTGCAGGCACCCTCCAAGCCACTTGCTCTCACATCCCCATGGTGTTCCCATCCCTCCTGTGTGCAAATAGCATACACTCCACCTGGAATGTTCCCCCACTGAATGCATTCTGCCCAACTCAGCCCCAGAGTCCTGATCTGCAAATCTGAATGGACTGTGCTCTCACCCCACTCCCCTGATGCCCTGTGCCTGTCTCGCCGTGATGTCTAGCACATTGTAGTGTCACTTGGTCATGTCCTGGGCCCAGGCAGCTGTGTCGAGAGGCTGGATCCTGGTTATCAGCATGTCTCCAGGACATGGCCAGTGCCTGACCCCATGGGCACTCTGGAAATGGTGCTTTGTGACTAGAGCAACCCACCCAAAGTTCTGTGCAGTACCCCCCACTTAGGCTCAGGCCTGCCCTCAGGGTCTCTCAGTCAGCACTTTCAAGGAGTATTTGTCAACAGCAAAGCACCATCTAAAGGAATTGGGGTATATATATTTTTAAGCCCATATATATATATATATGGTACCCTACAGTTTTAGAATCTGTTCCCAGATACTATCTGGTTTGACCCCCCAGCCTGTGAGGGAGAGGTGATGCTTCCCATTTCACACACGAGAAGACTAGAACTCAGAGAAATCAAGAGACTTGCCCAAGGCCACACAGCCCATTGATGGTCTCTTATTAATTACAAACCCAGGCCTCTGGGCTCCAAAGCCTTTGAGGCTTTCCCTCTCACTATCCTCATGATTACTGAGGAAGCTGGCCTGCTGAGTTTAGAGGAAGCTCCAGATGTTCTTTACCATCACACACACCCACTCCTTCAGGGCTAATGTCCAGTCTCCAGTTTACCTCAAAATTGCAGAGGATGTGTTGAAAGACGCCAACGTTGGTGACAGCAGATGACCCGAAGCCTAGTTCTGCAGTGCCAGCAATCGAGAGGATGAGCTGAAAAATTCGATGGTTTAGGAGAGAGGTCTTTTTCCTCAGGAGAAAAGCCATTATCTGAAAAAGTTAAAACACAAAGCAATTTCCTGGTGAATGCATCATTAGAACTCTTTCTCCTTCACCTGCTTGTGCCCACCAGCACCTGTCGTCAGCCCAGCCTGCAAGCCCTCTGCTCTCTGGTGCTACCTCCTTCATTCCCATATTCTCAGTGGAAAAACACATACCAACTTCTGTGGCTGCTTCCCACCAGTGTCCACTTTTCTGTACTTGTGTACTTGTGTGACTTGACCTCTCACTAGGGGTTTGACCTGCTCTCACTAGGGTCCCCCTGCTTCTTTCTGAAAATCTCCCCCTGTGTTTCCAGAATGCCACTCTCTCTTGGTTTCCTCCTACATTTCTTTTTTTTTTTTTAGTTTCAGAGGTAGAGTTTAGTGATTCATCAGTTGCATATAACACCCAGTGCTCATTACATCAAGTGCCCTCCTTAATGTCCATCACCCAGTTACCCCATCCCTCCTACCTTGCCTCCAGCAGCCCTCAGTTTGTTTCCTAGAGTTAAGAGTCTCTTATGGGGGCACCTGGGTGGCTCAGTCGGTTAAGCGGCTGCCTTCAGCTCAGGTCATGATCCCAGGGTCCTGGGATCGAGCCCCACGTCTGGCTCCCTGCTCAGCGGGGAGCCTGCTTCTCCCTCTCCCTCTGCCTGCCATTCGGTCTACTTGTGCTTTCTCTCTATCTCTCTGTCAACTAAATAAATAAAATCTTAAAAAAAGAGTCTCTTATGGTTTGCCTCCCTCTCAATTTTCATCTTATTTTATTTTTCCTTCCCTTCCCCTATATTCATCTGTTTCTTAAATTCCACATATGAGTGAAATCATATGATATTTGTCTTCCTCTTATTGACTTATTTTGCGTAGCAAAATACTCTCTAACTTCATCCATGTCATTGTACATGGCAAGATCTCATTCTTTTTGATGCCTGAGTAATATTCCATTTAAAAAATACAGACACACCACATCTTCTTTCTCCATTCATCTGTTAATGGACATCTGAGCTCTTTCCATATATTGGCTATTGTGGACACTGCTGCTATAAACATTGGGATGCATGTGCCCCTTCGAATCATTATGTTTGTCAACCTGTTTGCAGTATGTCAAAGCTATAATCATCAAGACAGTATGGTACTGGTATAGAAACAGACACATAGGTCAATGGAACAGAATAGAGAACCCAGAAATGGACCATCAACTCTATGGTCAACTAATCTCTGACAAAGATGGAAGGATAGCCAATAGAAAAAAGACAGTCTCTTCAACTAATGATGTTGAGAAAATTGGACAGCCACATGCAGAAGAATGAAAATGGACCATTTTCTCACACCATACACAAAAATAAACTCAAAATGGATGAAAGACCTAAATGTGAGACAGGAGTCCATCAAAATCCTAGAGGAGAACACAAGCAGCAACCTCTTTGACCTCGGCCACAGCACCTTCTTGCTAGACATGTTTCCAAAGGCAAGGGAAACAAAGGCAAAAATGAACTATTGGAACTTCATCAAGATAAAAAGCTTTTGCACAGCAAAGGAAACAGTTGACAAAACTAAGAGACAGCCTACAGAATGTGAGAAGATATTTACAAATGTCTTATCTGATAAAGGGCTAGTATCCAAAACCTATAAAGAACTTATCAAACTCAACACCTAAAAAACAAAAAAATCCAGTCAAGAAATGGGCAGAAAACATCAACAGGCATTTCTCCAAAGAAGACATCCAAATCGCCAAAAGACACATGAAAAAATGCTCCACATCACTCGGCATCAGGGAAATACAAATCAAAACCACAATGAGATACCACCTCACACCAGTCAGAATGGCTAAAATTAACAAGTCAGGAACAACAAATGATGGCGAGGATGTGGAGAAAGGGGAACCCTCTTTTACTGTTGGTGGGAATGCAAGCTGATGCAGCCACTCTGGAAAACAGTATGGAGTTTTCTCAAAAAGTTGAAGATAGAGCTACCACACAACCCAGCAATTGCACTACTAGGTATTTATCCTCCTACATTTCTTTGTGCTCTTTCCCATTCCCCTTTACCAAATCCTGCATTCATAACCATCCCATAAATGTTGCTGTGTCACCAGGAAGCCACCACACCCCCATGAGCCCAGCTGCACCAGCATCTCACCTTAGGCTGCAGCCACGTGATGTGCCTTTCTGCTATGTCAGGCCCAGGGAAGCAACAACATGCAAACATTCATACCATAACGGAGGCACTGGGATCCCAGTGGCCCACACCCATCTCAGAGACTAAATGAGAGGGATCCCACCTAGCTTTATGTCTCTGTTGATCTCAGTCACCCAAAAGTCAGGTTGCCTACCCATCTACTGGCATCCGGGTTCTCACCCATCTTATCCACAACTCAATTCCCTAAGCTTCGATCTGACACCACCCAGCCATTCTCCCTATTCTCCCAGCTATCCTCTCCAATCTGCTATTTGGAAGTCTTGCTTGCTGCTATAGACTGCATGTTTGTGTCCCCCCAGAATTCATGTGTTGAAACCCTATCCCCCAATGCAATGTTATTTGGAGGTGGGTCCTGTGGGAGGTAGTTAGGGTTAGAGGGAGTCATGAGGGTGGAGCTTCATGGTGGGATTAGTGCCCTTGTAAGAGTCACAAGAGAGCTTGCTCCCTCTCTCTGATCTCTGTCATGTGAGAATATAATGAGAAGTTGGCCACCTGCAATACAGAAGAGGGCCCTCACCCAACCCAACCATGCTGGCACTCTGATCTTGGACTTCCCTGCCTCCAGAACTGTGAGAAATAACTCTCTGTTATTTATAAGCCACCCAGTCTGTGGTATTCTGTTAAAGCAGTCCAACTGCCTAAGACAGTTGGGATCAGTGAATACTCACTATCTTTCCAGACTGCTCCCGTCACTTCTTAGATATATCTGAAATCTGACCACTCCCCAGTCCCCCACCAAGACATAATTAGGATGGTTGAAAGTTGCTTGAGAAAAATCACACACGCAGGCTGACTGGTTTCACTTTGCAGTAATAGTGTCAAATGCCAAAGCAGTCCTCATTTGGCCTCGTGATCCAACTCTGTTTTTCTAGTAAGCTGGTTTTCTTCATCCTAAAGATGAGGATTTCATCTCTTCTCCTCTCTCCCCAACCTCCCTTCACCTCCACCACCAACTTCACACTCTGCTGAGAAGACAGAACCCATCAGACACAAACGCTCTCATCTTCCCATACCAGATCGACTTCCCATACCAGATCTCATCTTCCCATACCAGCACTCCTTCCTGTCATAAGTAGGGTCTCCATCCACGTGGCCCCTGGAACCCACTACTCACCTTCTTGAGGACATGGCTCCATGGGACAGCTCTTCTCTCCTAGCTGCATCCGTCTCTCTCTCGCTTTCTCTTCTGTCACATCTTCCCACCGACAAAAATGCTCTAGTAATTCTCATCTTAAAAAGAACCCTCCCAGGATGCCTGGGTGGCTCTGTCGGCTAAGTGTCTGCCTTTGGCTCAGGTCATGATCCCAGGGTCCTGGGATCAAGTCCCATATCGGGACTCATCCACATCCCTACTGCCTGGCACAGTACCTAGCTCTTAGTGGGTATTTGGTCAATATGAACTGAGTAAATAGATTCCATCCATGGGCCACTCCTTGTCTCTACCATTTTTTCTTCCTGAAAAACTCAAGCAACACGGTCCTACATGTGATGTTGGCTACCTTTGTAGCTCTGTAGCACATTATCTCTCTCAAGGCACTCTGCTCAGGCAAAGAAAACACTCACTGAGAATTCACAACGCGCCAGGCCCTACACTTAGCGGTGGGGAGGCCACAGTGAGTATGAGTGAGGATTCCAGATCTCCACGAGACCGGAGTTTCTGGGAAGATAGCTGGAGAACATCCAAGTCACAGAGAGCATGGTAGTTCTGGAAGTGAACCTCAGACACTTACTGCATTCAATGTATACTAAAATTATCTTGGTATTTGTCTTTTTTTGTTGTTTTGTTTTTTGGGTTTTTGTTTGGTTGGTTTTTTTTTTTTTTTGGTATTTGTCTCATGTTATCCTTCTAGATAGACCCACGAGAGCCGGAAGTGCTATATGTACCTTTTTGGAAATGCTCACAATAATTGCCAAAATCCCTAGTCACAGCAGATCTGTATGAGCTGAAGTAGTACACATCCCATCAATGCTGCTTTTAACAACATGGTCAAAGGAAACTTTTAATATCTCCAAAGCCCCAAATTAGAGTTTTAATATAAACCCAGACACACCCATTCACTTATTACTAAAATATTTACTAAGTTTCTGTTTGGTCTCAGTAATATACTGGCAAAGAATAAGGAAACACCCAGGCCTTTAGACAATTACAGTCTCACAGAGATGAGCAGAGTCATAATTATAGCACCGGGTAAGAGCAGTGAGACTGGGCACATGCTTGGTGCTAAGGGCAGCCAAGAGATGGCCACACACTCAGCTCAGGGCTTAGAAGAGAGATCCCCTTTGCCATTTGAGCTTGACCTGGGGAAGAGAGAGAGATGGTACTCCAAGCCCAGGACACAGGTACACAAAGTAATATGATGCGGTTAGCAATCCATGACCATGCAGGATTCAGGGAGGAAGGTGCATTGGCTGGACAGGAAATGGGGCTAAATGCGGTTGGAAGGACAGGTTGGTGGCCAGTTTTTAAAGGTCTTTAGAATCCAGTATAAGGAGTTTGGGATATTATATCAGTGACTGGGTGCCTTTGAAGGGTTTACACAGGAAAGAGGTATCATCAGGTCTATAATGTAGAGCTGTGACGGGTATCAATGAGATTTGAGGGAGAAGCAGAAGGAACGGGCCACTGTCCAGCTGTGGCCACAGTCTAGGTGAGGGGGCATGTACCTGAGAAACTTTCTTCTTCTCAGACCCTGACTTGGGGGCCAAAGAGACAGGGAGGCTTTCTCTTAGCTCCTGCTGTACCAAGGAACCACCATGGCCTTTGTACCCCAGTGACATTGTCTAGACTTTGACACTAGTCCTGTCCTTCATGATTTTCTTCCAGCCATGCAGGAAGGTACTCAAGGGCAGTGAACATGTCTCATGTGACCTCGCAAATAGTAAACAGCACTAACAATCACAGTTGCTCTGAGCAGGCACTCTTCTGAACACTCAGCACGTATTAACTCACTTTATCATCGCAGCCCTACAAAAGAAGTGCTGTTATTATACCCATTTTACACATAGGGGATTAAGAACTAGAGATGGCTGGCACTTACAGAGCCCTTATTTTGCAGATATAATGCTCAGCCCTTCACTTGAATTAAATGATCTAGTGCTCACTACAACCCCATGACACAGCATGTGAGATAGTGGGTAGGGATGGAATCTATTTACTCAGTTCATATTGACCAAATATCTCCTTAAGATAGAGATATTAAGGAAACTGAAGCAGAGAGGGTAAGTAACCCAACGTTATATAGCAAGTTTGAGGAAGAGGCAAGATTCAAACCCAGCACCCTGGTTCCTCTGTCCGGGCTCCTAGCTATCACGTTAGGTGCAAAGTAGCTGGATCACCAATGATTCCTGAATTCAGTGAAAGTTACAGGTATACAGGTGAGCACCCCCATTCTGATCAGAGTGCCTCTCTGCCTGGCCATCACTTGGCCCTCTGCTGTGCCGACACTGGCTTTAAGACCCTTCCCTGTTAGTTTCCCTTCTCCAGAAGTTACCCTGGAGGGAAAGTCCCCTAGGGCCAGTGAAGCTCTTCCCTGCCCCTAGGTAATGACAGCTCCTTGGGGAGTTACAGGCTTGGATGGGAGGCTGGGATTACCTGGTAGCCACAGATGTGCTGCATCAGGTGATCACACATGACATTGCTGGTCAAGACAGAGTGCAAGACTTTCACAGCTGCATACATAGTGTGGTCATCTGTCGCTAAGGAAATGAGGCCCAGAAGGATGGCAGGCCCGCCAATGAAGTCCAGGCTGCTGGCCGCTGGGATGGAGTGGAACACCCTTATGCCTGTGCCGGACAAAGGGGCATTCCATCAATACATCGCAGGCTCAGGGCAACGGCAAGACCCCTGGCAGCCTGCAAGGGCAAAAGAGCTGCAGATGCCAGTGCCACCCTCCACTCACAGTAAAGGGGCCTGTGCACCTGGGACAGGCTGGGAGTGGGAGGAAGGGTGGGAGGTTTGAAAGTCTTAGCTCACTGAGAGATCCTGCCCTGAGGTCTTTCTGGGCCACCAAAACAGGTGAAACAGCCCAGAGTATTTCAGATCACCGCCTCTATCTCCATCCGGAGTGCTGGGTGAGCCACAAGCTCTCGGAGCCTCGGGCCACTGGTGGCTCAGACAACCCCGGGCTCTTGTCTGCTCTCTAGATCCTTCGAGACTAGACCTTGTACCAACCCTCTGCTCTGCTCTTGCCTGCATAACAAGCAGCAGTCACTGGCTGTTGTTTTTACCCCAACAACCACAACTGTCGCCTCTGTCAAAGGGCCCCACCGTGCCCACTAGATAGGCTCCATTGTGCATAGATGCCAGCCCGGTTAAGCTGAGTTCACTAGCAACTGCCAGATGGGGCAAGGTGAACTGGCCTCTCTGCAACGTGGAAGGCTAACTCTTCGACAGGGCTAAATCTCCAACTCTCACCCTCACTGGATAGCCGTTCAGAAGTCCAGGCTACACAAGCAATGACAGCCACCTGCCCATCTTCCCAAATAATAGTAAAATGTCAAGGCCTGACCTACCTAAATGGCCTACAGCCACAGCTCCAACGGTTCGAAGAGAACCCGAGAAGTGGCCAGCACAATTTCTTAGCAAGAACACAGGCATGGCATTGTCACGGGATGAAATGTTCATCTAGAGAAATGAGCAACAATTAGTCCAAAGAAACATGCTGGAATGGAAGAGCTTTTATTCATGAGGTCCTGGAGGGTAGGCACCCCAAGTCCTGGTCCAGTGTTGGCCCTCAGTAAGAGAAAGTCAGTGAATAAATAATAAATGAACCATTGTCAGGGAGACTGAAGCCAAAATTTGGTTTCCCATGCCCCACCACCCAGGCTGTGGCTTAGTCATGTGGGAACAGCTCTGGTGGCGCAGTTGAACCACAGATGTCCCACATGTCACAGTGAAGAGCTACTGAGGGCGAGGTGGACCCAAGGACATGTGGAGGTGGAATGGAGCCACGAAAGCCAGGCTGCCCCCTTCCCAGTCCAGGCTGTCTAGCCTCTGCAAGCCTTGGCCTCACTGGTCTCAGAGGGCTAGGCAGATGGCAGTCCGGGGTACTCTGTGGGTAAAGCACAGCTGTGGTGCTCAGCAAGACCTCATCCCTTGTTTACTGAGCCTCTTCAGTAAAGGGAGATAGCCCTCTGTCTGTAAGGGTGGAGAAAATGTAAACAAATCGGCTCCAATTCATCAGCATTAAGCAAAAGAGCACTTTCTGCAGGAATTAGGAAATTCTTCATCTAATGGCATCTTCATCTACAAACACGTCTGCTTGCTGTTTTGCAAGTTTGCTGTTTAAAATAAACAGGGCAACTCACAGAACATTTTGCAGGTTTGGGGGGTCAGTAGCACCCAGAAAAGAGAAGCTCAATAGTGTTTTCGGCGTCTCAAAGGTTTTTCAAATTCCATTTGTTCCTGTTCTCCGGTGAAGAATAAAGAGCACCTACTTTCTCCTCTGAGCAATTATAAATAAAAGGTTTAGTCTCAGGGGATGCTAATGGGTGGAGAGGCATATGCTATTTTAACAAATGAAATGGGCAGCACGCCTGTGTGTATCTGTCTCCACATGCACAAACATGAATTAGTGTTCATTTAAGCACTGAAAGCTGAAGCAAGCTATGAGATCATGATTCCAAAAGGGGGCAACAAGTGAAGGCAGAAGTCATACCTCTTTGGCAATCAGGCGGCTGTCCACCTCACTGTAAGTGTTTCTGATGTCTGTAACACTGGTGATGGAGGAGCTGGCTAGGTGAAGGCCAAAGGAAACCCTTTCCTCCGCAACCAGGGGCGTCACTTCTATATCAGGGTCCACTCCTAAAACAACACATCTTTGATCACCTCTACTCTCTTTATAGAACAGAAAGTACAAGCTCAGTAAAATAAATAGCTATGGCTCTATGGCAAAGCTATCACTGAGAGACTGTCTTATGTTGTTATATTATACGTTTGTATGTTGTATGTTTATGTCACATATTTGCCCCTATCAGTGCTTCTCTGACACTTATAGAAAACTGTGGATAAATCTCACAGGATTAACCTTACTATAAAATAAAGGCATTCAAGGTGTGAAATCATTGAAGCTTGAAGCATCTAACGAGGAGATGATATAACCTCACCCTCCAAAACCAAAATGCTGAGTGATAAGAAAGCTGACTTATTAAAAAAAAGAGAGAGAGAGACTGGGCTGAAAGCCCTAAGATTTTCAATGAGCTACATGCCATGGTGAACATTCCACTTGAAATGAGCACTCTGGTCCCTGGATCAAGGAAAGCCACATGTGCTACTGGAACTGCATGGCCTGAATAGCCAGTGGGCAAAATTTTGGCTCTAGACTTGACCTCATCACCTGGCTCTGGCCAGTGCCATCTGCCACAGGAAATGGAAGCTTGAAGAAGACATGGGGCCTGGAGACAGAAACACTCCACAGTGCTCAATCGCCCTTCACTATGCACAAGTCTTCTGTACATAAATTCATTCATCATTCTTCCCAGATGGGAGCTGACCCCCTTGACTTGATAGAGCAGTACTCCCTACTTGAACAGCCAGCAATCAATAATGGAAATGTGGATGTGTTTGTCTGCCTGTTTAATAATTGAAGACAACAGTATACTTTAGTTAAAAAGCCTCTTCATTAAAAGGAATGTAACTTATTTATCGCATTCTCTTCTCTCTTTCTTTGCTCATGGTATTACCTACCCATTCTCCTCCATTATGTGCTTTGGAGTTGAAATCTAAAGGATATTGTCATTTCCTTTTCTGTGACATATTCTGTTGGGTTGTAAATTTATAATGATCCAATTACAGAGGTCTTCCCCAATGACTGACCTATGCTGAGTTTATTCTTTATAAATATGCTATAAATAACTGGATGTCCATTTAAAAAAGAGTATCAGCAAGATCATTATAAATCAAAACACTCCATACCTTGAGCATGCACAGCTTGGAAGTTACCACAGTATCTTGGGCCAAGTTTGTTAATAACTTCCAGAGTGTCCACTGAGATGGCTTCTTCAAAGAGGTATGTAGGGCCAAGACGCCATATTAATGACGACTTTTGTTTCCAAACTCGAGGGGTAGCAATATATCCATAAACATCCACAAATGAAGATGGATCCATTGAAAGGAAAGGCCCTGGTAAGGCCTGAATATACAACATCTGTTGAAATTAAAAGGGTGGGGGTAGGGGGAAAGGGAGAGATTTAACCTCAGAATTAATCAAATAAACACCCAAGGATATAAAATTATATACCTTATTCTCTAAAAGTAAAAGCTTATTTTATCTACAAACATTAAAAAGGTCACTCTCAAAGCTGAGAAACAATGCAGGAAAACAGTTTACAAAATGCTGGTGGGAGTGAAAAACTGACACTGTGCCTCTGGAAACAAATTTTATGAGGAATATTAAGAGCCACTAAAATGTTTATCTTTTTTGTTCCAGTCATTCCACTGAGAACCTAAATGTCCAGTATTTGCACATCCATCAAGTTTTATGTACTAAAATAATTACAGACATATCCAAATGGAAAGGAAGAAATAAAATTATCTCTATTTGCAGATGACATGTCCATGTGGAAAATTCCAAAGAATCTACCGAAAAAAAAAAAAAATGCCTAGAACTAATAACTGAGTTCAGCAAGGTCACAGGATACATGATCAACATACAAAAATGAATCACATTCTACAGGCTAATAATGAACATGCAGAAACTAAAATTAAAAACACTATCATTTACAATTGCTCAAAAGAAAATGAAATATTTAAAGAAAAAATGTATGAAATCTACATACTAAATATTCAAAAACGACAATGAAAGAAATCAAAGAAGACCTATATAAATGGAGAGGCATACCATGTTCCTGGATAGGAAAACTCAACATAGTAAAAATATTATTTCTCCCTAAAATGATCTATAGGTTAATGCAGTTCCTATCAAAATGTCAGAAGGCTTTTGTAGACACAGACAAGCTAATTCTAAAATTTATATTTGAAGGTACAAGCCCTAGAATAACTTAACAAATAGCTTAATTCTTCTTTTTCAAAAAGAAGAGTGATTTTGATTATCTTTTTTGAAAGAGAAGAATTAAGTGGGAGGCACCATTCTAACCAATATTATTATATAGCTTATTACATAGCTACAACAATTAAGATAGTGTGGTCTTGGTAAGGGTATAGTCACATAGATCAGTAGAACAGAATATAGAATCTGGAAATAAATCCATATAAAAGTGCCCAACTGATATTTGATGAAGGTTCAAAAGCAATTCAATGGAGGAAGGGTAGCCTCTTCAACCAATGTTGCTGGAACATCTGGACATCCATGGGCAAAGAAATGAACTTCAGCCTAAACTTAATACCTCCTACAAAAGTTAACTCATAAGAGATAACAGATTTAAATGTAAATCTAGAAAACTTTTAGAAAAAAACACAGAAGAAAATCTTCTGGATCTAGGGCTATGCAAAGAGTTCTTAGACTTAACACCAAAAGCATGAGTCATAAGAGTTAAATCTGATGAATTATACTTCATCAAAATAAAAATTTTTGTTCTGCAAAGTCCTATGGGAAAGAAGATGGAACACAAGCTACTGACTAGGAGAAATTCTTTGGCAAATCACACATCAAAGGACTAGTATCTAAGGCCGAGCAATGTTGAGCACTTTTTCATGTGTCTGTTGGCCATTTGGATGTCTTCTTTGGAAAAATGTCTGTTCATGTCTTCTGCCCATTTCTTGACTGGATTATTTGTTCTTTGGGTGTTGAGTTTGATAAGTTCTTTATAGATTTTGGATACTAGCCCTTTATCTGATATGTCATTTGCAAATATCTTCTCCCATTCTGTCGGTTGTCTTTTGGTTTTGTTGACTGTTTCATTTACTGTGCAAAAGCTTTTTATCTTGATGAAGTCCCAATAGTTCATTTTTGCCCTTGCTTCCCTTGCCTTTGGCAATGTTTCTAGGAAGAAGTTGCTGTGGCTGAGGCCAAAGAGGTTGCTGCCTGTGTTCTCCTCTAGGATTTTGATGGACTCCTGTCTCACATTGAGGTCTTTCAACCATTTGGAGTCTATTTTTGTGTGTGGTGTAAGGAAATGGTCCATTTTCATTCTTCTGCATGTGGCTGTCCAATTTTCCCAACACCATTTGTTGAAGAGACTGTCTTTTTTCCATTGGACATTCTTTCCTCCTTTGTCGAAGATTAGTTGAGTGGGGGGTGAGAGGGATGGGGTGGCTGGGTGATAGACATTGGGGAGGGTATGTGCTATGGTGAGTGCTGTGAATTGTGTAAGACTGATGAATCACAGACCTGTACCTCTGAAACAAATAATACATTATATGTTAAAAAAAAAAAAAAAGAAGATAGTAGGAAGGGAAAAATGAAGGGGGGGATCAGAGGGGGAGATGAACCATGAGAGACTATGGACTCTGAGAAACAAACTGAGGGTTCTAGAGGGGAAGGGGGTGGAGGGATGGGTTAGCCTGGTGATGGGTACTAAAGAGGGCACGTATTGAATGGAGCACTGGGGGGTATACGCAAACAAGGAATCATGGAACACTACATCAAAAACTAATGATGTAATGTATGGTGATTAACATAACATAATAAAATAAAATTTTAAAGAAAAGGACTAGTATCTAGAATATATAGAAAACCCCTTAAAACTCAAGAGGAAAAACAATCAATCCAATTAGAAAATGGTTACAAGACATGAATATACATCACTGAAGAGGATATACAGATAGCAAATAAGCACTTGAGAAGATTTTTAATCTCATTAGTCATTAAAGAAATGCAAATTAAAAACACAATGAGCTATCACTACACAGCTATCAGAATGGCTAATATAAAAAACAGTAACCCCACCGAATGCAGAGAAAATGGATCACTCATCTATTGCTGGTGGGAAACGTAAAATGGTACAGTCATTTTGGGGAAATGATTTGGCTGTTTCTTATAAAACTAAACACACAATCACCATATGACCCAGCAATTGAACTCTTAGGCATTTATCCCAGAGAAATATGGACTTAAGTTCACACAAAAACCTGTACACAAATGTTCATAGCAAAACAAAGAAGATAAAAAACCAAAAAGGAAAAAAATGTTCATAGCAGCTTTATTTGTAATATCCCAAAACTGGAAACAGCCCAAATGTCCTTCAGTCAGTGAATGGTTACATATACATCCATATCATGGAATACTACTCAGTGATAAAAAGGAATTAACTATCGATGCACAGCAACAATTTGGATGAATTTTCAGAGAATTATGCTGATTGAAAATCCAATCCTAAAAGATCATGCACTGTACAGTTTCATATATCTCATATCCTTGAAATGACAACATTCTAGATTATGGGTTGCAAGGTTAGGGACAGGGATAAGGGAGGGAGGTGTGGTTGAGTGGGAGTGGCTGTAGTTTTAATTTTTATAAAAGGGCAACACAAGGGAGCATTGTGGTGACATAAACATTCTGAATCTTGGCAGGAGTCATGGACATAGGAACCTACACGTGTGATAAAATTGTGTGGAACACATACACATATACACAAGTATAAGTAAAACTGGGATATCTGAACAAATTAGCAGATTATATCAATATCAATATTTTGGTTATGAAATTGTTCTACAGTTTTATAAGATGCCACCATTGGGGAGAAACTAGGTAAAAGGTACACAGGATTTCTTGCTATTATTTCTTACAACTACATTTTAGCCTACAATTATCTCAATAAAAATTTCAACAAAAGAAAACTAGTTAACAGAGTATCACAAATTTTAAAATGATAATTTCAAAACTTATGTGGGTAAAAATTTTTTAACTAATACTAAAAATTAACTAATATACAGTATTTTCTATGTAATAAAGTCACAGCTATTTTTTTAAAGGGAAAAAACTAAAAGAAACTACAAACTATGGTAAGATAGAAGGAATATAGGCATTCTTTCTTCTTTTCAATATTTTTCAGGTATTTCAAAATGTGTTTATATAATTTTTATAATGACTATAAAATCACCATATCCACATTTATGTATATAAATACATATTTTTCAAGTGAGAGGTCATACAATTTCAGAAACAGTCTTTTTCTCTCTACCAATTAAATGAGATTTTCAAACAAGAACAAACCAAGTTTTCAGTTACCAGGCCTGCCTAGAGTGGGGTCCTCTGTGCTCTCTTCCCCCCTCCCCTCCTGCCTGGCAGGGACTTCTCTCTCTCCAGCACTGAAGCTCTGCCCCACCCCTGCAATCCAGTTTGCCTTTTTTCCAAATTCCTATTGCATATACTCACTGCACCATCTGCATTGATTTACAAACATAAGATGTCTCAAATTGCTCCCACATCATATTGCTCAGGCTGCTGAAATACTCCCCACCTTTTAAAATTTAACTTATCTTCCCTTGGAAATTAAAACAAAGTCTCTAATATTAGAGAACCATCGTTAAGCTGGGTCATCCCCAACCTAAGCTCTCCCATCTTCTTCTTGCTCAGCAGATGTCTACATCTAAACACAGGCCTTCCCATTTATCCCAATTAAATTCTACTTGCTTATCCTGAACCAACTCGTTGAGATCATCTTGGAAAGTCAACTCTGTCTGACTCAACTCTTGGTCATTCCCCATGGCATGTTTTGGCATATCCCTGTGGCCCCACACCACTGCCAACCTTTCTGCTGACTGACTCTGGCTTAGCTGGTCCCATGAGGTCAGTTGTTCATCCATGTACCAATTCACTCAACTACACTATCATCCAGTCCGTCTTACTCCTTTTGAATTCAATGCAATTCATCAAATATTTATTGCATGCTTACTGTGGGCCAGCCCCTGTGCTAGGTGTGAGCAAGGTCCAAACATCAATAGGACTTGTTTCTTAGCCTCAAAGTCCATGAACTATTTCACAGAATACCAGCCTATTCTATAAAACAAAACAGAATACTAACATGTTTTACAAAATAAGGAAAAAAAAACAAAAACAAAAACAAGCCCACTCTGTAATCATACCTGAACAGATAATAACAAAGACACTGTGCAACCACAAGAGTAACCACACTTTCCATCCTGGCTAACATGAGTGATACTGCTTTTTTCTCCAATGACAACTCTAACCTGCCCCATTCCTCCTACTTCCTGGATAAAAGTTCCGAACATACACAGAAATCAAATTCCCTCTTTCTGACAGCACACAATTGAGAACAGACCAACCTCCACTTCTTCGAACCCTTCCCCAAATCACCTAAAATAAGCCCTAATCCTATCTAAGCTCCTTCCAAGTCTTTGTTACCCCACAGAATAGAGTGTCCTGCTACTGCAAGCTTAATATATCTAAGTTTTATACTATATGCACACTCCTGGAGGTATCTGCCTGGTGGGCATGGACAGTTCCTAGCATCTAAAACAGTACCTAACAAAGAGTGGGTGCTCCAAACTATTTAATGAGGGAAGGAAGGAAGGAAAATAAGAAGGAAGGAAGGGAGAGGAGGAGAGAGGAGGGAAGGGGAGGAGGGTAGAAGAGAGGAGGGGATGGGAGAGGAGAGAGGGAAAGGAGAGGGTAGGAGAAGAGAGGGAAGGGAGGAAGGAAAGAAGGGCTAGTATCATCAATGATTTGAGAAGAGTTAACCTCATGTTTTGGAAGACCTATTTTTGTTATGTTCCTGCTGAGTCTTTCTGATTACCACTGCCCTTTTTTGATAAAACAATTATACTAGAAGATAGCATTGAATTCATCTTTAGTGTTATATCGAATTTAGGTTGTTCTAACCTAATGACTCTCAACATGGGGTGATTTTTGTCCCATAGGGGGCATTTGGAAATGTCTGGAGACATTTTGGTGGTCACAACTGGAGAGACAGAGATAGAGATGCTACAGCATCTAGGGAGGCCACAAATGCTGCTAAGTATCTATCCTACTATACACAGAATGGGCCCCTACAATAAAGAATTATTGAGCCCCAAGTGTCAAACTATCAAAATGAGAAACCCTATTAATCTAAGGTTCTCCATTCTGGCTAAATATTAGAATCACCTGAGAAACTCTGAAAACATTACCAAATTACCCTGCACACAGAGATCCTATTATGATTGATCTCAGGAACAGCCTGCACAATAGAACTTTAAAAATACTTCCTGGGTGATTCTAGAATGCAGCCTAGGTTGAGATGCTCTCTCTGGTACCTGGGCGAAATTCTGGCTGCACTCGCCCTCTGGTGTCTTCTGGGCCCTTCTCTCTCTGGCTGCTTTGGGAGCTCTAACAGTGGATGCCAGAGCACACACCTGCCATGTCCCTCATCTCCCAGCTTCCTCTCCCTTATGCCTCAGAACTTCAGGTGACTCTAAATGGCAGTGATGAGACACCTCCTCTAGCTATGTGTTCACATTCCATTGCCTTCTCCAGGCAGGGAAACATCTTTTCCTCATTGTTCTTGCTGTAAATCTGGTAAGAGGTGTTGGTGTCCTTGCAAGCCCTAGTGCCTGGTTTCTAAGTGTAGTGTGCAGTCGTAATAGATTCACCAGGAAGCTTCTTAGAAAAGTAGAACCTTTGACCCTGCACAGACCTTCCTGGGGAATCCACAACTTAAACTGTGAAAAGCCTTGTTCACTCTGGGACCTTATAATCTCTTATGACTATTCTTATTTCCATGTTTCACCTTCTGCTCTGGTTGTGTGGCTTTCACTCCAGTTTCTGAAGAATTTCCATTTTCTTGTGTTTTGGGTTTTTCTCATGTTTGAGCTCAGCCGAGTGTTCTGGACAGCTAGGGGGAGTTTCATTAGATACCGACCCTGCTGCCAAATGAGAACAACGAAGGGAAGTGAGACCACTCCAGGTGGTGTGGCCAGAAGGCATCACAGTGGGGCAAGCAGAGTTCGGGGCAACTAGCTCACCTTGGCTGAGCCGGTGATCTGTCCATCCAGATAGGTGGAAATGGTGCAATTCCTTTTCATTTCCTTGGTGACAACCACAGCCAGGTGGTGCCACTGACCGCAGGCCAGCAGCTGGCCACACCTGACCCGAAGCTGGCGCCCGGCAGAAGGCTCAGGATCATCCTCTGGTTCCATGATGTCTGCAAGAGAACACAGACGCTGCACCTTGCGTGCATTGTCATGCTGCAGCAAGCCAGGAGAACCAGGGCCTCGTGCCGAGGAGCCGTGGCCTAGACCCCCTCATGAAATAACCACAACAGCAACTATGGTTGCTTGAGGTCCTGCTTTGTGCCAGACACTAGTTTAAGAGCAGTTACGAATGTCACTTCATTTCATTTTCACAGCCCCCCTGTGAAGTAGGTGCTATCACAATCCCCATTTACCCTCCTGAGGCACAAACAGGTTATGTAACTTGCCCAGGGTCGGGCAGCAGGACTCAAACCCAGGCGTCAAGCTTTGGGTCTACCCCACAGGAGACTGCCTCTGCAGCGATGCACATGTGCCCTAGAGTCCTCGGGCGGGGAGAAGCACTTGTGCTCTGTGACAATGATGCCAAGCCACCCCTGGGGCCTTCTGGGTGTCCCTCTATGAAACTGACATTCTCAGGGGACACAAGAAGAACAGGCCATTTCTGGCCATCACAAGGGGATGAGCTTAGAGAGCTAGGCAGAATTCTAAATGGCAGAGTCTGGACCAGCCACCAGCCACTGAAGGAGGGTTGGTCTCCCAGGCTCTCATGCTGAGAGCTGCTGACTTAGCTCCATCTCCCCCAAGTGTGGGCAAAAACAGCTCCAGCTCCCAACACCTTACCCAGGGGCTGAAACGCTTTCTCTTCTGTAGACACAACCAAGGAGAGGTCGTCCGGGCACAGGCCGACAGAGAAGCAGACGAAGGGCTGCTCAGTCCTGGCCAAGTGACGCACCAGGGTTAGGAAGCGCAGTGGGTGGCCCTCAATGACTGTGCTGTGTCTGCTGATCAGGAACCAGCAGGAGAAGGTCAGGCCCCCAGACGGAGGGAATGACCTGGCAGCACCTGGAGTCAGAACACAAGCATCCCCTTAGACTTTCTCCTGCCTTATAATCTTGTCTAGAGTCATCATAGCTCTGATTCAGCCCAGGTGTGGCCCTACCGTGTACCAGCTCTATGCCTGGTCTGACTCATGCCCACTTTATGTCAACCCTACACCACAGAAGCTCATCCCCTTATTCATACTTGCAGGAGTAAGTCATATTCCCACCAGGACTTGAGTCTAGATCCCCAAAGCCTCTCTCTAATTCTATCCCACATATTATTCCATGCCACCTTGCCAAGGGCGTGGAGAGGGGGACAGAACCCTGCAGACGGTCACTATTGGCTGATCTAAAGCTGGGCAGTCTGCTGTGTGAGGCAGAGAACACCAGCCTAGCTCAGCTGAACCTTGTATGGGGGCGTCTCCCTATAGGGAAACCCATGTCCTCCTGCCCCATAACAGGGTTGGCACTACAGAGCAGGCCTGATGTCCTCCATGAATTAGCGAATCAGACTTGGTGCCCGTGCAGATGGGCTGTGAATGCAATGACTCCTCAGCACCCACCATCCCAGAGAAATCCTGGTTCTCCTAACCGAGGGTGCTTAGCTCAGACAGCACTGGGCACTTGCCCTGTCCTGCCCAGCCAGTTTTTAGCTGAGCACAGCACTGCTCAAAGCCTGCCAGGGCTCAGTAGACCAGATTGCCATTCACGTAGAATGTATATTCTTCTCTGGAAAGAGACCTAAGACAGGTTGCGGTGTTCGTTTCAACTTGCGTCAGTCACTGACAAAATGAATCCAACCCAGACTCCGCCATCAAATTACCACTGAGTCCCCACTGTGTGCAGTCATGGCTGGGCCCTTGGGATCCTCCTGCCCTAACACAAGCATGACAAACTTCAAGGATGACTCATCTACAGATACACAGAAAGAAGGCCAAGTGGAAGTCTGACACCAAGGCTCCCTCGGCACTTGTTGTGGAGGCAGGGTGAGGACAGCTCAGCAAGCTGAACTCCCCGAGAATCACCTACCTGTCCCAATCCCTCCAGAGACCAGATACTCTGTACTGCTGCCCATAACTGTAGCCAGCGTCGGAATAAACAAACAGCTGGAAACAGAAAAGTGTCTCAGATCAGTGAACTGCAAGCCAACTTCTGGCCGTGACATCTCCCCTCTGTCCCCCTGCAGGGCCTCCCTCCCTCCTACACCATGAGGACAAAAAGCAGCTGATGCTGTTATGAGGGCTCTAAGAGATGGAATTCACACTGGATCCTGAAGGGGAGGGCATTCCAGAAAGCAGGCCCACCAGGGGAGGGAGAGGGTCATAGCACTCCATGGCTGAGGATGCTGGCCCCGAGAAGCCACTGAGTAGACAGGTATCCCTGGCCCAGACATTTTCTGCTCCTGAGCGGTGAGAGCTGATGAGAACTATAGTTTTGTGATCAATATTATAATTTATCAGAGGCACTGGTAAATTAATAAAGTGCATTCCCATTATAAGAAAGCCTATCGTACCCATAACCTTCCATGGACATGTCAAATTCCACAAACGATGGAGCCAGGACCGCCCTCTGAGGTTGCAGGTGGCGTGGGGAGGTCATGGAGATGAGGCTCAGTGAGGTCTGAAGGGCGGTGGTTGAGCCCTGGGACGTCCCCGAGGGCCTGAGGGCCTGTGTGACTGCTGGGCCAGGGCCAGCATCCAGGGCGGCTCCCGTGGGACCCTCAGGTGTCCCTGCTGCGGCAGCCTGAGACCCTAAGGCAACAAGCCAAAGGAGAGATGAAGAGCCGCATCCCTGTTCAAGCATTTCCACTGCTCTTCTGACAACAGCCCCAGTGTTTCTGCCACAGCCCAGAAAGAGGGCTAACCTAACCGCTGTAAGGTGGCTCTCTCCTGACTCAGTAACGCTGAACTGCAGCAACAGTGCTCCTCCTAGAAACTTCTTCTCCCTTCGGTCCACCATTCCCCACAAACACCCTCTACACACACTTTCCAGCTTGCCCCACTGGTGGTCGCTCATGGCACTTCGTCCTGGCTCCCTGACCTCCCCACCCACAACAGCCTGTCTCTTTGAAACCCCTGCTCCCCGCCCCTGGCTGCCAGCACAAGCTGACTCTCCACCTATGCTTTTCAGCTGGGCCTCCTTGGTTTCACGTCCTTATGTGATCTCATATTCGGTATGCTCACAGCTTTCTGTTCTTTAAGCTGCTCCCTGGAGCCAGCAGCCTCCCCGGGACCATGCCTGATACTAGGGATCCCCCCAGTGCTTTGGCCTCTTGACCTTCCAGCTGACCCCTGAGCTGCGAGCTGTGCAAAAAGCCATCACTGGTACCTCTGCCCAGGCTCAGCACTGGGTCCTCGAACATGCAGTGTGTCGTGAAGGAAACCCTATTGCTGTTTCCGTGATCTGCACCTAAAAGGGTCAAGTGCATGCTCACCATCACCTATCTTACACGAGGGTGGAGGTCATCCTTTTCCTTCCAGATCTGGTCTTTCTCTGGGACCAGCAATCCTGCTTTCCCTCATTTGCTCCACTGTGCAGCAGACAGTACCATTTTTTAAGTCTGTCTGTTTCTCACCTGTTGTAAAGTCTCCCTTATAAGGGATGCATATTCTCTTTAATTCCCATTAACCTGTTCCTGTTCTTTCCCCTGTCCTCACCTGAGCCTCCAGAGTCCCCTCTGCGCACACAAGATGAATGGAGGATTTTCGTTGCAGCCGATGGAGGTGAAGGAATTCCAAGACCGAGAAACTGTCTAGGTCATAACATACAAGAGAAAGAAATGAAGAGCTTTTATGGGCAAAAGTGTTCTCCAGCTTCCCCAAATCTCAGCACTTTCCTAAATTTCGGTGCTCCCTGACCCCCTCCTCCACGCTTTCCTCTCTCTGCCTGGAAACCTTCCCTCAAGCCATGCAGAAGCAGGGTGTCCCTGGCCTGGCACCCAGACCACAGAGCTAGTGCGTTTAGGTGCCTTGGACTTAACCAGTGACCAGCTGGGAGCCTCAAACTGAACCTTGAAGGGAGAAGGAGTTTGCACTCCTTTACTCTGTGTCTGCTCAGTCTGCTTTGCTCTGAGCCTCTCCGTCCTGCCCAGCTTTCCAGGAAACAGGTGCCTCCCTGGACGGGCTGCCAGCAGGAAGTTTCCCTGAGCATACAAGGGAGCACTGACTGTGTCCCTCTCCTTGTCAGGAGTCCTGGCCCGCCCCTGCTCCTCACAGCAGCCCAGCTCCCTGCAGTCTGGCCCCTGGGGGTGTCCAGCCCTCACAGCCCCCATCCGTCTCAGCAGGGCATCCTCTCATGCCCTCTTCCCTCCTCCCTGAGTCCCATGAACGCTGGCACAGGCCTCAGGCCTAAGCCACCCACTGCCTTGAAGCCCTGCCCCTTCCCACCCGCTCTCCCAAATGTGGCCCTCCCAGTTCGTGCAGCTCCAGCCCTGTCCACTGAGCATCCCCACAGCGCTATTCTGTGTTGTCTGCAGGACCCTCTGACTCTTGTCCCCGCTGCCCCAAGACTATCAGCTCCACGGGACGGGCCTTGTCTGTTTTGTGGGCCTGCCTACTGTCTGCATGGACACAAGGCTCCTCCCTGGACTCACAGTGGCCGGTGCTGAGAAGGGCCACGCCCTGCAGAGGGGAGAGGAGGAGGGGGCATGGGGACACCTGTCCCTGTGCACTCCTCCTGTCCACTGTACCTGAGCACAGCTGCCATGGCTCAGCCACGTTTAACGCACGGCACACGGTACCTTAACACGTCTGGTTCGATGGCTTGGGAGGCAAGCTTTTCAAAAACCCTGATGAGGCCCGAGTTCAAGGGGCTGGGGCTGGTGGTCAGGGCCCTATGGCAGGAGGCCATGAGGGTCCTAAGCATCCCCGCCTCACACATGACCTGACGGTTCTTCTCCGATTTCACCACGGACTGGATGTGACTGGCCACAGAGCACTGGATCTCCTGGGAAAGCTAAGAGGTAGCAAAAGCAAGCGGTGAGCCCTTGAGGTCAGAATATTTTGTGCGCAACTTGGATCGACCCCCAACCAGGCCTCAAATAGGTTGAGGGGGCTAGGCAACTGCACCCACACAGCCTGTTCTCACTGCACCCCGTCTGTCTCGGGAGTTCTCAGGGGTGCCCTCGTCCCGTGCAGAAGGGGTCAGCTGCCAAAGAGGGACAGGCTTAAAACAGAGACTGCGAAGTGCCAGCATCTGAGAAGCTGCATCTGCCCCAGAGACACGGTGTCCGCCCCAGGCGATGTTTAAGCAGTTTCTGAATTAACTGCTAACGCTTAAAGGTCTGGGGACTTTACATAAAAGTCCGGATACGTGGGCTCTCTCAGAAGGTAGGAAGGCCGGGTCAGACAGGTTGCAGGTCTGTGTCTATGAGGGGCAGCCAGGGCCGGCCAGTGGCCGTGCCTCTTGTGGGCCCCTAGCAGCCCTGTGTTGGAGTCCGTACCCCTGGCACAGAAGGTGCGGCGTGCCCGGGAGGCGGGCCCGCAGGCGGTGCCCACGCTCACTGGCTGCGGCCGGACCAGACCACACTCAGCGCCCAGGCCAGCACCAGCCTCAGCTCTGGCGCCAAACACCCTCAGCCCCTGCTGTCGTCCCCCCGACAGCTTCCAGCTGTCCTTCGTCCACCTCTCAGACACGGGTGGCTGGGGTGTCATCTCACCCTTACTGGTTTTCCAGGCACTTCAGTATCTTTACGTCCTTGAAGTCCACAGCAGAGAGCACAGAGAGTCAGCTCAGTAAATATAGGAGCCAAATACATTGCTTTTGCAACCTTGTTTTCTTCATAAAAATATAAACCCCTGGAATTCCCAGGCCTCTATAGATATACTCAGGGGTGGGGATGTTGGGGGAAGGGGATGGGAATTCCTCTACAAAACCTCTGAGGACTGCCCACATTCTCTTTTACTGTTGTATCTGATATGGGCTAAAGTAAGAGGGATACCAGTTAGAACTTAATGGAATTTTCCTGCTGTGAATACTATGGGAGCCTCCCCCAGACCTCCTTCTCCAGGTGGGTGTACCCATCACCACTCCCCCTTCTCTGGAGGACTGAGCTCCCCTAAGTGGGAGCTGCCCTGCCCCACCTGTCCCCTGCTTCGTGGCCCCCCCATATGTTCATGCATGCATACACACACATGTACTCATGCACACACATACACATGTGCACACATACATGCGTGTGTACACATAAGCACACATATGTATATACATGCCCACACAGCTACACATATACTTGTGTGCATGCGTACATGCACATACACATGCATGCAAACATACACACACCCATGTACCACGTGCACACGCTCACGTACACACACACCAGACCGTAGCCCATGAGGTCACACCCTTCAGTCTTTTGGTGCAATCCATGCCTGAGAGCCCTGCCCTGGTGGCTCAGGCTGAGGTTGGACTTCAGCTGACGGCACCATCTGCTTCCTCCACTCCCCTTCCCTAGTCCCTCCCTTGAAGGATCTGATGTACCTATACCCCTGTCGTGGGCTCCACTTCCTGGGAACCTGACCTGAGGCCCTGGCATGCTTTTCATATTGCACACCTTTGCCCTAGTTTTTGGTTTCATGAAAAGAGATCTCTGACAATGTAGATCATGTCTAGGTTAGTCCACAAGTGTAAAGCCAGGAGTAACCACAAAGGCACTAATTTGAATAATTCCTATCTTAAAGATGACTGGCTTCTTGTCCCATTGAGTCGCAGACCATCTGATATGCACATCCCCCCCCCCCAGCCGCCTTAAAAGCTTTCTTGGGGTCCTTCCCTGCTTCCCTTCTTTCCTCTCTCCCTCAAACAAGTTATAACTGCCTCTTCAATGTCAGCTCTGTGTAAAGTTTTAGGCATTTCAAGATTAACACGACATTATCCCTGCTCTCAAGGGAATCATGGGCTACAGGCAAGACAGGTGAGGGGACAGTCTCAGCACAATGACAAACGAGCTCTAGCAGAGGATTTACAGTATCTGGGAGGAAGGGGTTCCCTGCAGCCCCTCACACATTTTACAGAGCTCTTGGATTTAGAAGGGAATCCAGGCCTGGCATCTCCTGGGGGAGCCAAATTTTACCCTGGGATGAAAATATGACCTGGGTATTCGGGATGTGCCAGGCCCCAGTCTAAGCATTTTGATATGTATAGATTATACAGTCCCTGTGAGGAACCTATGAGGGAGATACTATTACTCTGCCCATTTTACAGATGAGGAAACTGAGCCCAGAGAAGTACCTTGTTCAGGCCACGTGGTAAGGGCAGAGCCTGGCTTTGACCCCAGACTCCATATGCTCAGGATCACCTCATTTCCCATCTCTACCTCACACGTGCAGAGATTTGGGAACACCCTGCCATGATGGTTGAGAGTATGTTTGTACCACTAAGGGACAGAAATGAATAAGATGGCATTCGTCCGCAGGCCACAAACACCGCTTGGTAGCATTTATGTTTTAAGGATTAAAATGTATTGGGACACATATTTACACTGTTTATCACCAGTTTTTAGATTAAAAAAAATGAACGGGTCATACAGTTCACCCTTCACCCTCCCTTCCTCCTTCCAGGAACACAGCACCTAGAGCTCCTGTCTCAAACTGATGGCATTTAGTGCAATTTCCATCTTTACAATATCTTCAGTAACACTTCCAATTTAAAATTTTAGACTATCTTAATTCTAGTTTAAAATTTAAATTACATTAGAATGGTTTTTTTCAGGGTCATTGCTCCCAGGCAGGATTTTGTCATTCTGAAATGTCACCATTTCACCACCATCCTTGATGCTGAGGGAAGATCTCATCCTGTTGGGAGAAGATGGTCCCTGTAATGGGCCAGATGTCTGTGTCCCCCAGAACTCACATGTTGAAACCTAACTTCCAACATGATGTATTTGGAGGTGGGGCCTTTGCGAGGTGATTAGGACATGAAAGTGGACCCCTCATGAAGGGGATTAGTGCCCTTATAAAAGGGACCCCAGAGAGCCTTCTTTCACCTTGTGCCATATAAGGACACGGTAAGAATCGAGCCATCAACGGGGAAGTGGGCCCTCACCAGACACCGAATCTGCCAGCACCAGGCTCCTGGACTTCCAGCCTCCAGAACTATGAGAAATAAGTTTCGATTGTTTACAACCCACCCAGTCTATGGTATTTTGTTAGAGCAGCCTGAGTGGACTGTCCCATCCCTGTCACTGTGGTATTGGCACCACCAGGGTAAATTGCTAGAGGCAACGTACAGTCCGACAGGGACCAGAGACAGAAGGAAAAAATGCCAAAACTCACTTGCACTAAACAATTCCATCACTTTTACTTTGAGGAGTTCCTCCATGTGGAAATCTGCCCAGCCTCCTTGACTCCTTTCCCCAGATCTTTCTTCTGCCGCTCTCAGGGTCCCTCCCTGCAACCCACACCTCTGCTTTTCCTCTTGTCTCCTCCTCTCAGAACACAAAGGGAGCCTCTACCCACTTGCCTTGAATATTCCCTCTTCCAGAACCTGGATTATTTGGTAACTGCAGCCTTTTAATTTGGGGCAAAAGTTGGGGAGACGGTCTGTATGAAGCAAGATGCAAAAATAACATCACAATGTATTATTAATAAGAATTAAAAAGAAATGTCTATAATCTCCAGTTTTATTACCAGCAATTCACTTATTACTTTGAGGGCTTTTGGCTTTCTTTTTTCATTGTTGTTTGCTTTTTTCTTTTTTATCCACCAGAGAAGAGCTATTTAAAATCTAAATATGCAAAAAAAAAAAAAAGTGAAAGTTTTCAAAAGGGAGAAATGCTGATCTTGTCTAATGATGCCACAAGTTTACTCCAAAATTGCTCAATACCCCATAATGGAGGAGGGAAAATTGATCGTCCTCATTATCACTGCAGCTCTGTCAATACCAATATTGCCTTGTTTTGAATAAAATGTGCTGTTTTTTTCAATGTTGGTTCCAGTAAAATGGGGTTTTAGTGAAAATATGAGCAGTAGCAGGAAACCAGTCTGGTTTCTCCCCCTACAAATGGATTGATTTTCCTAACGCATATTACTTCCAATGCAGGCTAGGGGATGGTGGTTCAATTAGGACTCCATGGTGAGCACGTGGGGTCACCAGGCTGGCCGGCAGGCTGGACCTGCAAGGCAAATTATCACAGAGCGATTTGCGGGGCAGCCTTCAGGAGTTTTTTTTTTACTTTCTCCACTTAACAGTCGAGGCTTCAAGTCTATCCTTGTCCAGCTGTGGATGTTTGTTGTTCTTTATCTCTCCCCCACCCCGACCCCCCTGCTTTCTCTTCTGGTCCAGATTAATACAGTCCCAGAGCCTAGTGAGGGCTGGGTCCTGGTGGGGTGGGTCATTCCCAGGAGGCATGGGCTTTGGACACATAAGTCTATGGTGTGTCCTGACATAGATGTAAAAACCATCAGATGACCATGTCTGCTTCCCCCCAGATACTTAGAAAGAACCAGGCAGTTCTATTGAGCTACTCAAATTTGGATTAGTTGCTTATCCCAGTTTGGTTGAAATGTTCTTTGATGATTTTGGAAAAGCGATGGTGTAAGTTAAATGACCTCAGCTCTTCAGAAATAGCACAGGTAAACAGGGCCCACAGATGGGTTTCATTTGATAAGTTGTTATGGTTATTTTTGCTTACTTAGAATTAGTTCTTTCTATATATGGGTGTAAACTTTCCCTTTTGCCACAATCCCCATCAGCCTGATAGACTCATTTGCGGTATCCACATGGCCTTGTAGATGTGGGAGTTTGTGATTTTGGTTTATGTGTAAGAGGTCCGAGTCCCACTGAATCAGTAGAACCCATGTCTAAAAGCATGGCTTCCTTGATGCCCTTGAATAGATTTGCAACTAAGACTGAGATGCATGTGGGTGCCTGCTCCAAACCTTCTGCTTCCTTCACAAATTACATGCATATGATGTCTAATGCTATCTGGTAACAGAAGCCTAGGATCTTGTAT